ATTTCCTTTCAGCAGCTTGGGCCACTGCCTCTTATCCTGTCACCATGCATGAAAAGAGTACCTTCAACTTCCCTCTAACCTCTTTAGGTAATGGAAGAATGTGATTAGATTCAGTGTAAACTTTCCATTCTAGGTTGAACAACACAATTTCTATTAACCTTTCTTTGTAAGTTAAGAACTCCAACTCCCTGATAACCTTGGTGGACACGCTCCAATTTTAATATCTCTCTTGGACTTGGAGGACCAAAACTAGACACAGCATACCTGGTGTGGCTTGGCAAGTGTCTAGTACTGTGGATTAATCTCACCTCTTGTTCTGTTTGCTATAATCTTGCTGATACAGCCTGCAGTTTCCTTTCTTGCTGCAAGGATGTGTTGCTTACTTATGTTCAGTTTGCTGTCCTCTTGAATTCGTAAGTTCTTTTCAGCCAACATACACTCCTCCAGTCATCCAGTACAGATGTTTGGGATTACTTTCTCCCAATACAGACTTTTCATTTATCTTCGTTAAACCTTATGCAATTCCTGTTATACTATATTAGTAGTTATACTATAGTTATAGTATACAACTTTATATACTATATTTTCCAGCCTCTTGAGGTCTCTCTGCATTATAGCTCACTCTTCCAGTGTATCTGGCTATCCTCCCTGTTTGGTGTCATCCTCAAACTTGGTGATGGTGCTTTCAATACCATTTTCCAAACTGTTTATAAAGATACTGAATAGTATCAGCTCTAGGACAGACCCCTGAGTCACTCCACTCATGACAAGACATCAATCTGGCCTTGAGCTACTACCTACCACCTTTCAGGATCAACATCTCAGCCAGCTCTCCACCTGTATGTGCTCCAGTCCATTTCCTACCAGCTTGTCATCAAACATTTTGTGAAAGACAATGTTGGGCACCTTGCTAATGCTCATAAAGATGGGTCTTTATGAAGGCACTTTTCATATGTCATTCTTTTTGTCAGTGCAAGTGTATAAGTGATGAGCTTGTGAAGTAATTCAGAGGCGACATTTCATAGTCTATTAAAGAAGGTCAGAATAAATGTGCATAATTGTTCTTTAAGCCTTAAAAAAATCCATGAATCAAGCAACTTTTAGAAAAGTGGCCTGTGTCCACAATGCAATGCTCAGGAAAACAAAAGTCACATAGCTGTTATAGGTAGTGTCATAAATGGAAAATTATGTAATAGTATTGGGAGTCTGTGGGGTTTTTCTTGACATAAAGATTGTCATGGTTTAATTCTTATGTGGTGGAGAGTACTTTCATAAAATATATAAGAACTGGGCTTCTGACTTTTTTTTTTTTCCTTTTTTTTTCCTTCAAGAATTAATTGTAATTAACTTTAATATTTCCTGTGCTGCTACAGCGTTTTTTGAGTTTAAATATTGCATGGGTGAAAGCAAAGCTGAGGCACTGTCTGTGACACCCAAAAGCTGCTAGAAGCCAGGAAAGCAGTTGGATGACATCATTAAAGTAAAAATCTTCATTAATGGATCTGTAATTTTTCCTTTGTAGAAAAATGTCAGAAATTGCCTGGCACATTTTTGCTGTGCATTTTTCCAGTCTTGTTTTGTATCATGAGGTCTGCTTCACTGTCCTTTGATTCTTGTTTATTCTGGCATCCATTCATCATCCTGATATTTTTCTAACCTTGTGGTCCAGACTCTCACTGCTCAGATATTTGTCTTTCCTAGCCAGTTCTTCAAGATAGAGCAGTAACACATTACTAATGATGATTCCTTCTGTTTCCAGCCTCACATTTGTACATAGCATTAGACTAACTTAAAGCCTTTGCCACATTTCCTTTTATGATCCCTTACATGTACAGTTATCTTTCAACAATCTTTAACTGACAGTATGCTCTGAATGTCATTGTGAGAGCTACCATTTTATGCACCAGGTAGATGAGTTTCTTGATTTGCTTAACCTTTTAATTTCCATCTTTCTTGTTAGTTATTTCGCTTTTTTTATGCCAGTGGAATTCAAATGTTGCAAAGCATAGGCAGCTTTCTTACTACTCTGCATTGTCTTCAACATTACTGAGGGAACACAAGCATGATAAATCATGTCACCACAAGTTATCTTATACAGACATCATTTCTGGTTGATTTCACGTTGGATTTCCAGATAGTTATTTCCAGTTAGATGAAACAATATGGTGAGCTAACCTAGATAAAATAATACACTTCATTTATGGAGTATATAAGTTGATTAACCAGATTGATTTCCACACAGTGAAAGAGCATGGAAACATAATGTAAACTGCAGTATCTGCTTCTATCAATAGGAATGACACAGTCATAACCACAAGAAACAATATGTACATATTGCAGTGTCATTCTCTTTAGTTCAGTGTCAGATGGGCTCCTAATGCTTTTAATTTTTCTACCTTTTTGATTTTAGTCACATGAGCCTGCTCAGTAGTTTGCCAAACACAGAGGAAGAAAATTTCTGGTTGTATTTTCCTGAATCCAATGTTTTTTGTTTTTTTTTTTTTTATTTTCAGATAAAACATTCTCTGTTGTGTGTAAGAGAAATCCCATAACCTGTACTAGGTACTTTTTTTGGTAAGACTTTCTCAACGCTAGTTAGAATTTAGGAGTCACAAGTAGATGGGCTGTTTTCATTGGCATCTTTTCAGTTCTGACTTTTAGCTTTTAGGGGTGGAAGAAAGCAATGCAAAGACATTGTAGTGTTTGCCTATATGAAGAAACTGAGAGACCACTGTGCACTTTCTATCACCCTTTTTAGCTTTACCGCGGTGAGCCATGTGCACTGATATTCTAGGTTTTGTGTTATTTTCTACAGTAGTTTCACTAATCATGTGTAGACTTTTTTACTTTTTTGGTTTTTTTTGTTTTAATTATTCCAGTAACTGAGCTATCCTATGCAGGAGCTTTCTTTGATTTTGTTGTTGACCTTTGTTCCTTCTTTTTCAATATTATCTGTGGCTTCATCCTAGCTGATTAAATCAGTCATTGTAATACAAGCACTCTGTCTTTTAGAGGATATTGCATTTTTTCACATGCTGTAATGCTTCAGTAGAAAGCAACCATTTCCCTTGCTAACATGTTTTCATCCTGGAGGTTTTTTTTTTTCTCCCCAACAGAAATATAGAAATGTGTATGTATTACGGTTCATTCTTTCTTTATTTTCTGCTATCGCTCATTTGGCTTTTTCTTTTTCTTTTTTTTTTTTTTTCCTCAACATGTGTCAGCAATGTGTATCTAACACTTTACTAAAATTGTTTTCTCTGCCAATTTGTATTGCTCAGATTTTTTATAGTGGCTAAAATGTTTGTTTCGTGTACTGGGGTAAAGATTGTATGTCAAAAGAGTTAAATACAGATTCTTGATAAATTTTACAAATATTGAAAAACATTAATTTTCCATCCTTTTTGTATTACATAGTAATTTAGATTCCTAAAGAGCTGATGTGCATTGCTTAAAGTATGTTATGCTACAGTGCAGTATTAAATGCTTGCAAGAATTATTTGATTTTCGAAACAAACCCTATGAGGAGAGACCGTATCTGTTTGATCTTCTCTATTCTATGCTTTCACAGTATATTCTGAGAAAAATGATTTCCCCTTTCATTGTTACTACAATCTTTTGCAATCAGCCACATACTATGTTCAGTACAGTAACTGTGTTCATGCAGAGTCCTAAAAGTCTTCAGTTTTGTTAGCACTGACACTAGAGTTAGTTCAAATGCTTGCTTTGCTAAGTCCCCAGGCAGAGCGATACAAGTCTTGGATTGTATCTCAGCAGGGGGATAAAATCTTCTTTTTTCTAAGTAAATGTTCTTTTCATTCCACATACACTGTTAATTCTCCTCTGGGGCAGAATTTATGGCTGCCAATCAGCTGAACTTCAGAAAGGTTTGTAGTGTCAATCTTTGTTTAGTATCTCCACCAGAGCTGACTGCAGACTTATGTTTAAGGCTGACATTAAAAGATGAAAGATTCCTTAAAAAGTCTATACTAGTTCTCATGCTGTATTTCTACATTTTATTTACTAGGCAAAATTTCACATTACTAAACATTTTCTGATACATCTTGAGTTTGAAACGTTATTAAAACATGGGGCAAATGTAATATAAAAAGTTCAGTACTACTAATACTTTCAATTTATCCAGTGGTTAAGATCTCTTAAGTGCTGTGTTTTACAAAGATGAGTAACGGTAATATCTTTTTTTAAATAAGCTGAGGTGAAAGAAAGGAAGCAACTTTGCTATAGTCGCGTAGCAGACTTTGTGCCAAACTAGCCTCCTTTGTCCCAAACTACCGTCTCTCCCTATCACAATAGTTCTTTGCATTATTTGCATTAATACTCCCAATCTTCTGGGAATATTATAATTTTTAGGACTTTTAGTAGTCAGTTTCTGAATGGCAAGCTGCTATTAGTGTGACCAGAGTGTGATACTGTCTTTTACCTAAAATCTTCCTCCAAGTATACAATGGATAAAATGTTTGCTGCCTTCTCCCTCACAACTTTTCTCTATATACTGCCGTCTGTAAGTGTTTTGGTTACTTCAGGTTCCCACACAGTGCATTAGGTTTTCTGAATTGCTCAGATGTAGCTGAGTGATTGAAATAAGAGTAAAAATTTCAAATGTGCCAGAATCCACAGATTCTCCTATAGCACTCACCAGAATTGTTGATGAATTTGGCTGCAGTGAAATACTTAATAGATTTCCACTGACTTCAAATACTTGTAGGCCTTCATCCTACATAAAAACATATAAACAATAAAAAACAGATAAACAACAAATATTGTGCATTTTCTTGAGTATCTGTCCAGCTGTTTTGTTTTATACAGAGAAGACAAGAGATACAAATGAGGTGAAAGGTACAGGCACCCTTAGACGAATGCCTTGTCAAAACCTGACACATAGTAAAATACGATGAGAGCAACGTGCAAACTGAGAATTTGCTTTCACTCTTACAAGCGTATTATTCTTATTCACGTTGCATCTAATATTTGTCTTTCAGAAATCGAAGATCTCCACTTACGACAAGATGTGGGCCTTCATGAGTAGCAGGAGGCAGTCAGTACTTGTCAAAAGTAATGAAGAAGGTATCCAGCGTGTGCTTACCTCTGATTATGCGTTTTTAATGGAGTCGACAACCATTGAGTTTGTCACACAGCGGAACTGTAACCTAACACAGATTGGAGGCCTGATAGACTCAAAAGGTTACGGCGTTGGAACTCCCATGGGTAGGTGATACGTCAACTATTTGTTCTCTGTTCATTAATCTTAGTTGCTGCAGTAGCATAGAAAAGCTCCAATACACTGTTACTTTCTCTACGTTGCTAACATTTTTTCTCATTCTCTTTTTCCCACCTGGGGAAAACATTACATATTTTATAAACAGAAAAAAAAGTTACTTTGTAAAAAATTTGACAGTTTCATAGGATATGTTTCTCTTACATGGTGCCTTCTATATGTTCAACAACAACAAAAAGTACTTTTCACAGTACTTTATTTTTTAAAAAAATATTTTTAAGATGTTGACCTCTCTCTTTGGAGAATGTGGTGCTAGTAGTACAAGGTTTGTATTAGCAAATGGGGATAATGCTTGTATACTGAGAAGACTAATCACTGAGATACTTAAAAGGAGAGGAAAGATTCCAAAACATGCCATGTATAATCCCCAGACAAAAGAAATACTGAATTAACCTTGTGGAAGATGATTTTGCAGAACAATACCAATCCTGTAAATATTTTCCAGGTCAGGTGTTCTTGACTAGGTACAAAACATTAGTTGAAGATTAGAAGCCAACTACTGACATTTGTTTTGCTACTAGAATCCACAGGATGGGATTCAGCAAGCACTGAGTCACTGAGATCCCATTGACTGTAGTGATTTTTGAAGGACATGAACTGAGGATCTGCCTTTAGATTTCAGAATAAATGGGACTAGAAAATGGTGTGACACAAAGACTCTGTCAGTACTGCACATTAATATTGTAAGATTGTTCTGCTGACTTCTTTGCAAGACCAATTTTTATTTTAACTTTATTTTTAAGAAGAATTTATCATTTTTTGATTGATGTGAATATGTTTTATGTTTTTCTCAAATTGGTCTTACAGTTGGTACTGATTTTATCTGTGTTAACAGTATACACTAAATCATTGTATGGGGAAGGTTGTGTCCAGCGCTTTAAATTAAGCACAGGGTAAGGAATGTTAAAAAATAAACTTTACTGGAATATCATGGATAAAGAGGTATCTAGTATTATCAAACATAGGTTTCCCCATATGTTGTAGATATTCACTGCAACTTTAGAAACACCTTTATAACTTTTGTGATTTCAGTAATTCACTATGAAATGGACATGCCCTGAAAAAATTGTGATTCTGTTCATTCTGTCTTTGAAGAATTAGTTGTTAGGAATCTAGTTTTAACCCATATACCAATTTTTCCACCCTGTTATATTGTGGCTTCTTATATTGCTGAATACCTTCTATAGTCACATAAGTGCCAGAAGTAACTGGAATTCAGTCCTGCTGCTCATTTTGGCATCTCATATTTTCTGATATATAAACCTTTTGTTATTATGAGGGTGAAAACCACCTTCCACTTAGGTTTAGTATGGGGAAAATTGAGTCTTAGTGATACTTTAAAATCCTTGAATAAGCTGCATGCAAATTTGTGAAGCATCTGAAGTATGCCCCAGAAATCCAAGTGCCCATGGAAGTTCCAAAGTGATAGGAATTGGAGCGAACAGGCTATTTTACAAATTATTTTGATTATGTGTAAATCAGAGAAGTAGTGCAAACACCATAGAAAACAGATGAAAAGCAATGGTAAAGCCAGGAATGGTCCTCTAGAGTTAAAGTTTTAGAGGAAGAAGTATTTGATGTAAAGAGCAAGGAAGCAAGTAGAGTAAAATGTCTTTTGGTCTTTGTCCCCTATCTTATTTGGGGAGAATAGGCATTATGATTGCACTATTTCTTCATTAACTTCAAATCATATCAAAGACATTATTCAGCTCTTATTCATCTGCTAGATTCCAAGTAATAACAAATTATCTGTGTCAAGAGAAATAGTGTACAAGGGGATCTGTGAGCTGACAATTGTCTTGAATCAAGATGAAACAAATAGAGGACATCCCTGCAGGAATCAAAGATCACCAAGGGAAGCAAAACAAGAGTTTAAACAGTGTTAAACTTACCAAAAGAAGTTGAAGTAAGATCTGAAAAAAAAGATGAGGCCTTCATAAAAGGAAATATAACAGAACCTAAAATAAGATGTAAAGTAAGTTTTTCCAAAGGAAACAAAGGTATGATAAAACAACACCCGGAGTTTTCCCAGAACAGCTAAGAGTACGAGATTAATCCTGTGTTTGGGCAGTATCTATAAAATCCTATCCAGAGAACTAACATTTATAAAAGTTTTGTATTCTGTGTATTAACCTCACAGTCTCAGCTGAAAGAGATTGGGTAGCCTCTGCTAAAAAAATGTGTAATTCACACATATATTTGAAAGGAAACCTTACAAAGAAGCATATCCACAGTGCCTGTCAGAATAGTTTTTGTTCAATGTGCTACTTTGTTGAAGCTAAAAAATGTTACAGAGCAGTGGATAATACAAAATAAACTCATGCATTATAGCTAATCTCATTTCTACAGGAAAAAAATAGTTCAAGAGTTTTTAAAAGATATTATGACATGGTTAAATCTATAGAAGTATATTTCATTATTATTTAATGATTATGGAAGAAGCTTATAGACACACAATTGAGTAATATTTTTTGGGGATTAATAATCCTAACAGTAACTTGTCAAGTGCTTGGAAAACTACAGTGGAATGGTTTCACAAACAAAACACGTCACTGTTCGTGCCTGTTTGGGAAGCAACAAATCTCTGAACATAACAATACAGAACTATTTGTATTGGAGGCATGGTATCTGAAAGATAGAGATGTCATCTCCCCAAATTTACAAAAATATCCAGTTTATCTCCTGGAATAGTGGCTTGAAGTTGCAGAAATATTTGCATGTAAGATTAAATTTGTAGAATACAGTTGCTTCTACGTTGAACCTGGAGTACATAAATGACTGAGAAGTGTGTATGTCAAACTAATTCTGTATGAGCAGATCTACTGAGCATGCACCTTTCAGATGATCTGCACTTATGTGGCAACCCAGAAGTATCCTGTATATGCCAGAGAAACTCTTTATGTGTGGAGATACATGCTAAATAATGCCTTTGACATTTTGGAAATGAAAAATGGTAGATATAAGTAATCCTAAAAATTTGCATATGTTTCTTCTAAATCTGAAGAAATACAAAATAGAAAGTGGTGTTTGAGAGATATGGTGTGTATAAGAAATTAGAGCTAGTAATTTCTCTACTGTTTCTCTGTGATTTTTGAGCTGCGGAAAGTTACAGAATTAGATTAAGAGGGGTCTTTAGCTATATAGCAATGATGTCGCTATAATATCTGATAACGGTGAGGTAAAAAACAGTTTGAGAAAAAGGTGAAATACACATATTTTAATTGTTTCTTCCTGTACAGTTATTACAAGAAAATAAATTCCTAATAATTAAGAATATTAATATTAATATTAATATTAATAATATCTCCATTGCAAAATGTAGTGAGCTGAATCTGTTACATGACTCTCTTAACTTTTACAAGGTTTTTGACTTTTCCCTTGCTGTGATTAAACTATGACTTTTCCTAATACAGCATATCACTCTTTGTTTCCCTGATATTTCCATACTGATGGACTATCAAGATGCCCTGAAAAATGCTGGAAAGGGTTTGAGGCTCACGTCTTTAATATTTAATTGCTAACTAATCATGTTGTATCCAATAACATTGTATAGGTTCAGCTGATTTATATTGCCTATTCTGTCTATAAGGAGTGACCTAGGAATAATATTCAGAGTAAAAGTTTTTATTTTATAAAGTAAACCTAACTGTGTTCTTAATGCAGGTATTTTACAAAATATTTAATTACCTGCCATTTTTATTTAAGTGCACATTTCTAAATATAGAAAATTTTAAATGAAGGCACAGTAGGGAATATAAATCACTTAAGAACAAAAGAAAAGTTTCAGATGTCTGTAATTTCAAAGTTTAAAACTTAATGTAGTAAAAACAGAAACAAATGACTTTTTTCTAAATATGCAATAGAAAGTGAAAAAAAGATGTTATGAAGATGATCTCAAAATAGTCTTAACTCTTCAATGAATTCACTTAGCCTCCTCCCTTGTTGCATTTATCATTCCAGACAGAGATTTGCACTCCGATTTTGTAGTCATCTAAAAATTACTTTACTTTTGGAGCTTGCCTGTGAAATAAAAAGTAGATAAAATGGGAGTAAACACCTTGTAAGTGTAAGAATATCAATTCATCATCCTACCAATGTGTAGGATGTTGCCTCCTATGTTTTGTGTAGCTTTTAAAAGCCCAAAGCCTTGAGTTCTATAGCTACATGTCTGAATTAACTTCTTTCGTTAAGCAGTTTCTACACTTACACCATGAACTACATTCAAATTAATGTTTTAAACAAATACCCTGAATGTTTTCTAGTAAAGAAAAGTAATCTGTTGTTATATATTTAGAACATAGTGGTGCTAGAAAGTTTTACAGTTTAATCTCAGTTTAACAGAGATTAAAGTATGAATAGAAAACCTTCTATTACTTCTATTATTAAAATTACCTAAAAATGAATATAAAAATTGAAGCTACAGTTGTCCATAGTCAGACATTATAGCCACCGTCAAAGTAGGGGGCAGTCCATTTAATTTCTGATTCAATGAAAATGTATAGTACAGTTACCCTGGAGTTGTACATCTTTCTGAAGGACTATGACATAGATGAGTAACATAACGATAATGAGTTCTGGGCCCCACAATTTAAGAAGGATGTTAAGGCACTTGGATGCATCCAGAGTAGGGCAACAAAGCTAGTGGCAAGGCTGGAAGGAATGTCCTATAAGGAGCACCTGAGGACACTGGGTTTGGCTAGGGTTGTGGTTTAACCCGGCAGGTAGCAAAAAACCCCCACAGCTGTTCATTCACTCCCCCTAGGGCAGGATGGGGGAGAGAATCGGAAAAAAAGGTAGAACTCGTGGGTTGAGACAAAGACAGTTTAATAGGACAGAAAACAAAAGGGTTTAATAATGATGATAAAAGAATTTACAAAACAAGTGATGCGCAGAACAATTGCTCACCACCTGTTGATTGATGCCCGGTTAG